TCTTATTTATTTACCACAGAGTAAAATCACTCAGAACTCTTTCTGAGAGAATGGAAGGAATACTATACCAGACAAGGGACAGATTTTTACAAAACAATCCTTAATTATGCCACAAGAGAAAGGAGGTTAGGAGGAGGACAGAATAGGAGTAAGTAGCTAAGATGCCAGCACACTAGCAAAGGAGAAGGGAGAGCAACTATCTTACAATGTTTTCCAAGTTAACCTGTTGAGGTTTTGTCAAGTAGTTTTCATGCTGAGTTATTAGTTAATGGTACTTAACACATACGACTTATCCCAATTTAAACTTGTGTTGACAATGAAGATTGCTACATGTAAATTAATATTATATATTTATATATACATATATACATGTATAGGTATGTATAATATACATATATATGTGCATATATATATATATATATATGAATGTTGTTCTTATTCAGCCCCCAAATGTTCACAAATGACTCACTTTTTCCACTTGGATCTCATGAGAAACATCAGATTCATGGAGAACAGTGTTGATTATCTAGATTTCCTTTTAATCATTAGCTTAAGGACATCACTTTCCAGCTGCTGAATATTCATTTCATCAGGTGCTTGGTCGCTTTCTGAAATTTTCTCCTTTCACTTTTAACCACCCACAAGTAGGGAAGGTACAGTCACTGCTGTGACCTAAGCGTGAAAAGGAAGAAGGCCACAGAGGCTGCAGGATGACCAGGGCAGCCACACCAATTCCTACCTCACAGAGCCAAAGCCCTGGCTACAGCTGGGCACCAGCCTCAGGGAAGCCGTACTTCCTAAGGTCCAAGAACTTCACTGAAAGCTGGAAATAGCCCAGCTTGATAGCATGAACAGTCATTTCTCTATCCCCCAGAGATTTATCTGTTATTATTGTTTGACCTACACATTGCACAGATCAAGAATCTGAGCCAGTCTATGTCCTGCATCAGCAAGGCCTCAGCTCGAATCTCCCAGCAAGGGAACTGTGAATATCACCATGAGCTCTTGCCTGCAGTCCTCTGCTGGTCATGGAGGGGGTTTGCACAAACCTCACAGTGAGAAAATGTAATAGCTGCCTGGAGATGACCTCCTCGGGCTTTTTCAGGCTTTGGAACAACGCCAACACTTGGCAAACTGCAGAATTCAGGAATGAGCTGCAGAGGGTGAGGAAGCCCAAGGACACGTCCATATTGGTGCCATCACACCCTAGGCAGTAGAGAGATGTTGGTCTTCTGAAGGCTCAACCAACTTTGGGATTTGCAAAGGTGAAGGACAGGCATTAAGGTAGAAAATAGGCCTATAAAATAGGCCTCAAGCAAGGATTACCTCCAGCAAACAACCTGTTGGATTCAGGATAGAAGCAAGTGAGATGGAAAAGAAGGAGCAAAGCAGACCCAAATTTCTCTTTCTTTGCCCAGCCCAAGGAGAAGAGGCCAAGCTTGCACCTCTTCCCAAACGAGGCAAAATCTAGGAGTTGTTGGGCCATAAACAGGCTTAAATTATACCCCCTTGCTTGAATTCAAATGTTACAGAAAGTCCACAGAAACCGTTGTTCTCTGGAAGTCCTTTCAAAGCAGGCACTAAGAGACTTCATTTCCTGCTTTTCTAGTTTCTGATCCAACCTGTAAGTGGAATAGGACCATGCTCTTGCATCCTCCCTGCCACCACTTCCCTCCACACCCACTAACAGCTTGTGCACCTCTTGCTGGCACGTGGGGGTCTCCCCTCTGTGTCGACTCTCAGGTTTAGGCTGGCAGCTTTCTCTCTGATCTGTTTCCTACAAGTTACAAGCTTTCCAAGAATAGGATTAGGATGAACTCTACACTCACACTTGCCTTTTCCTCAACCCACATTGGAGGTTCATCCCAAGACTAACTCTTCTATGGAACAATCATTATTATTCTTAGATAAGGGCACTGAGACTCAGAAAGTTTTGAGTGTCTTGCTAAAGAGCATGCTGTACGGAGGCCTGAGGTGGGATTCACTTCTAGGCAGTGTGATTACACAGAAGGGGGCTATTCGGTGTGACGGAGGGCACAGCAGTCCAACCCTGCCTGGCAGAACTGAAAATAACACAGTCAGCTGGTGGGCTGGCCACATGGCTCGGAGGACTAAACTGCCTGCTTAGGCAGGTGCAGCGACCAGTGTTTGATCCCTGGCCTGCCGTGCCAGCCCTGCTCCTGGGGTGCACTGAGACGCAATTGAGACTGGGTGTGGGGGCGCTCCTATAATCCCAGCACTTGGGAGGCTGAAAACAGGTGGATCACGATGAGTCCAATCTGTGTAGTGAGACCCTGTAGACCCTGCACTAAAATATGAAAATAAATTAAAACACAAAGGAGAGATCAGCTGAAATGCTGCAAAGGGCAGGATGAAAAGATGTAACAATCCTGAGCTTGCTCTCTTATCTTTTTATTATTTTATTTATTTACTTATTTGTATTTTTAGTAAGGGTCTACAGGGTGTACAGGGTCCGATCTCACTATGTAGATCAGACTCATAGTGATCGCCTGTTTTCAGCCTCCCAAAGATCTGGGATTACAGGCGTGCACCACCATGCCTAGTCTCAATCGCTGTCTCAGTCTGGGGCTGGAATGGCAGGCCGGGGATTGAACCCCAGCTGCTGTGTCTGCCTAAGCAGGTGCTTTAATCCACTGATCTATTTGGCCAGCCCTTCTCTTATCTTTTTAATCCATTGTGGCAAAATACATGGCATGAAATCTACTACTTTAATCACTGTTAAGTGTACATTTCAGTGGCACATTCATAGTGGGATGCAACCATCACATTTCCAGAACTTACAATTACAAACTAAAGTGCTGAACACACTACTCTCCCTATTCCTACTCCACCCACCTGCCAGCCACTGGTAACCTACACACTTCTGTCTTCATGAATTTACTTCATCTAGGTGGAATCATGTGCTACTTTTCCCTTTGTATCCAGCTTAGTTTACTTAGAATAATGTGTTCAAGGTTTAACCATGATGGGCCGGGGAGATGGCTCAGTTGAATAAGTGTGTGTCTGGCAAGCCCAAGGGCCTGAGTTCAATCCCCAGGTCCTGCACCAAAAAAAAAAAAAAAAAAAAAAAAAAAAAAAGAAGAAAAAAGGTTTAATCATGTTGTAGGATGTATCACAATTGTATTTTTGTTCTATATGACAACCTGGGTTTATACAAGTCAGAGCTACACAGTGATACCCTGTACCAAATACATAAAAAATAAAAATAAATAAAAAAGAACCTGGGTTTAAGAATCATCTTTAAGCCACCTTAACTGAGCGATGCCTTGTTAAGTTAGATAACAACTATACCTATGTTGTAGCCATGTGACATGGGGTTTTTCCAACTGACACATAAGGCAGAACTCAAATCCTTCTGGTAAAGCACCGGACTACTCAAAATGGAAACTCCTCAGCATGTGGAAGAATTACCCAGAATTTCTCTAAGTGTGTTGTGTACACAATCATGACAATCAAAATCTATCTTTTTTTCAACTTCACTTTATCTATTTTGATAATCCCTTATCACAACTGTTAATCTCAGCACAGTTTTTCATCACTTAACTTTTTTTTTGTCTTAAAAAAAGACATGAACTCCAAATTGGCTGAGACACTGCCTGGTGCCCTCTGAGGAGTACAGCTAGATGCTTCTTTTCAAAACACTTTTCCAAAACCTTCACTGGAGTTAGAAATAATCAAGGGCAGAATAGGGTAAAGAATACAAATATTTATTTAAAAAACATCTTCCAGCATCAATTTCAGCTTGGCAAGCCTGAAGGGTCATTAATGTTTTGCTATTACATGACATCTGACACACAGGGAGTATTATAACAAAAGAGTGAATACTTACTAAAACTGAGAAAGAGTATGTGTAGTAAGCTACTATGATAAAAAGTGATGTTAAGGTTAAGACAGTTTTACCAGGCAATGAAAATAATCTTCTTCTCCAATAGTGTTACCCGAACAGGAGTTTTGACTAACTTACAGGCATAACCATAAACATTCTGGTTTGTGGTTATGCAGAGGTGAATTGAACAAAGATGTGAGCAGACCTCAGTACTAGTAGGTGATACAGAAACTTGGGAATAAGATGAGGGAACAATTATAAAGAATGTATTTTCTTGAAGGTCCCTATAAAAAGTGTATTAAAAAACTGAGTAGGCATGTACAATCTTTACTATGACAAGAAAAGCATAGTAGACAGCACTAAAATCGAGTACTTATACAAAATATTCTTTCATTGTAAACAGATAAAGCCTTCTCCAACTATATATATCACCCTACAAAATTCCGCTTCTGGTTTCTTTATCTGGTTCCCAGCTTTTCATATCATGGGAAAGGACACAAGCTTTTAGAGATCCATCAGCCCAACCTTTTCCTTTCACAGATGGAGCGCAAGCAGGTTATCCAATATCATATTTACTCCCAGCAGCAGAGATCAGACTAGAATCAGGTTTCTTGCCTGACTTTTCTCATTATGTGACATGACTCATTCTCTACTTGGTCCCAGATCTGTGGTTGATAGCATTTCCTCAATCTCACATGGGCAAAGGGGTCATGAGAGAAGGGAGTGAGTATGTTTGGGACTTCTCTGGGTTGTCATGAGCCTAGCGCACTAGAAGAGCAAGTGATAAAATACATCTCTTCTTTCTGCTGTGTCTTCAAAAACAATCTACAGCATGCACACGTGCATGCCTGAACACACACAGGTCAGTAGAAGAGAAACATTTCCTGAGTCAGGCGCTGTGCGCAAAGAAAACTTTTAAAGACTGTAAGAGAAATTATAGGTTTTGATTTTACTTCATCAGCATTCTAAATGTTCTATTCTGGCAACAGTATTTCTGGGTGACAACATCTGGAATACTCTTTTACAACACTCACAAGAGGTACCCTGAACAAGGGTGGTTAGGCCTTGGACGGCCATTTTCTTCTTCTTTATTCCCCTGAGAACAAAATTCAGAGAATGCAAGTGTTATTCACATTGTTAAAGGTTTGTTGTACTCAGTCTTATTCAAGGTTCAGTGCAAGGAACACTAATTGAGAGCCTCCTTTGTCATAGGCATGAACTAGGAAAACCTTGAGAGGAAAGGCAAAGCTGCCAGTCTCGTGTTTGTTGAAACACCAAACGTTATCACAGTTGTACAGATTGCCCAGTAGAAATGTATCTTTCTCTTGATGGAGTCCTTTCTGCATCAGTTTCTGTAAGAGTGATTTCTTTTTTTGTTAGAATGTTTCTTGGAAATTGCTTTCTATCTGATTAATGATTAACATGGTTTACAAAACAGAAGGCAGCCATATGTTGTATGCTTCATCTCAGGCAGTAAGTTGCCTTTGGACCATATTTCTTGTTTCCTTCCATATAGTTTGTTGTGTCTTATACACAGATTCTTGAAAAATTCTTGCTACCTGTGTAGAAAAGCCATGACTTTCTTCTTCTAAGGCATTGATGGTTTGTAGAGCAAAGGGAGTCTTTTCTCGAGGAAGGGGGTTGTTCAGGGGCCGCATGGGTATAACGGAATTGTACTTGTGTTGCCTGTTCACAGAATTCATTAGAGATGTGTAGAACTGGAAGTTGCACCAAGTATCTCTTAAAAAGTTTTCAGTAAGTAATAAGATTGTCCACGCAGACCCATTTACAGCGTCATCCAAGTTCTGTAAATGCTGCCTGCCACATGGCATTTCAGCAAAGATTATTCCAGGCTTGATGCCAAAGTCATTTTGTAGCAGCTCCTGGACTCTCAGGGCCTCATCTGTGTCATCTTCTGCATGCAGGATCACAAATTTGAGGAACACCTCTTCTGCCTCTCCTTCGGGACTCTCTTCTCCTACCTTGGCTCCCTCTTGCTCCCCTGTCTGCTCCTCTGCTATACGGCTTTGCTCCCCAACATGAGATAAGGAGGCAACTTCAGGCTTCGTGGACTCAGACTGAAGATGGCCTTGACTCTTAACCACACTGTGACTTTTACCCCAACAGAAACAAAGAGGGAAGGTGTGTGTTTTAGACTTCCCAATACCCATGATATATATCCAAGACTGAAGAGGGAAGCTTTCTTTATTTATTTCTAAGCATTTCTTTCCAATCTAAAAGAAAAAAGAACAAAGAAGCAGAATATTGTAAATTAAGTCAAAACATTAACAATCAAAAGTTTTGTCCAACTTGGAAAGCTCACAAAGGCTGTTACATACAGATACTAAGAAAGAAATAACAGGTATTTGGGAAGCCAGACTATTTGTCTTCTGAGAACTACACAAGGGCTACCACAGGCAGCCCAGGGTGAGCTAAATGGAGGATACAGTATAATAGAATGAGACATTTAGAAATTCAAAACTATATTGTATTTTACCATAGACCCATGTTAAAATAAATACTTCAAATGCTAGTGAAAAGTAAACATATCATTCTATCCATGTGGTGTTTACATCTAAGATCCCTTATCAAATTACTGCATAAACTAGGAACAGGAAAGTCTAAAGATACAGAATATTCTGATACTGGGAATGAATTTATCGTTGTATCAAATGCAAACATAAAACAGGAGGCAGTACCCTAGTGATGCCCGGCAGTCGCCTTGCTGACTCAGCATGAAGAGCAGACCTGAACTATAAGATGAAATGCTGCCCACGAAGCCCTGGCTCTGGGCTCTTGTTGTCTGGGTCAGGCACTGTGGTGGGAGAGCTAACTGGTGGAGAAGAAATTACAATTAGGGTGTGTAAAAAGTAAAATGTAGGGAATAGGTTTTTCCAGTTAACTTTAGAATACTGAAGAAAATATATTTGTTTACCTGAAGGAAAAATTAACATCTTGGTTTAGAAGCAAAAAAATCTAGAAACTGAGACTTGCAATTTTCTTCAATGAAGTAAAAATGATAGTCTTTTACAGGTGTGTGCCACCATGTGCAGCTGAAAAAATGATAGAGTCTAGATTATTTTATTATCAAAAATTCTAAGTTCAGAGTGAAAGAATTAGGTCAGCTGTGAAAGATAATATGTCATGCAAATCTAATTTAAATAGCTCTTCAGAAAATGTTGATAGTGCCACAAATAGTGCCCCAAACAGGCCATTTAAGGAGAATATTATATCAAAACACAGAAAATTTAGAATAGATAAATATGAGCCTCATATTGTCGAACATGAGCCAAAGCTACATTTTACAACATTTTTATTGTCTATTGGCAAAGACCAAAGTTCAAAAAGCAATTGTATCCAGAATGACATTAAGTAACGCAGACACATATAACTAAAGAATTCACATTTAAAAGAAATTGTTTAACAAAAGTGGTGAGAAGTGTTATGTTAGGAAAAAACAAGGAAAATAAGCCAGTTTGCTGCTGCCTCTGACTTATGAAGGAATCTGGCTGCTGCCTAACATTCACTATGTCTAATCATCAGACTGTAGACACATTATACTGTGCTAGTTAGCAAGAGGTATTCCTAGGCACACTGATTCTGAAAATGTGATATCCATACATCCCAAATGACAAAACAGACTGATTAAAACCTTTAACTAGAATTCACTGATGACTTCTGTTACTGCATTATAAGAAAGGTTTTGCCAAGCAAAGCTGTGAATAACGGTTCACCTGCATAAGAAAACAACCGTTAAACCATTCAACCATTCAGGTGCCTCTATCTATGTATGTCAATTAAAAGCCTCTTCAGCCAGGGAGATAGCTCAGTAGAATAGACACTTGCCTGGCAAATGCAAGGGCCTGAGTTGAATCCTCGGTTCTAAAAAAAAAAAAAGGCTCTTCACCTAGTTTTGAGATAGGTTTGTCAGAGCAGCTCTCTTTTTCCCCCAGTACTGGGGATTGAACTTGGGACCTTGCACTTGCCAGGCAGGTGCTTATGCTGATGAGCCATGACCCTGGCCCCCATCATTATCTTAATCACCCATGGGTGCAGCAACTGTATTTGCTGTGCATCGAAAGTATCCAACACTTTTTTTTTTGCGGAACTGGGGATTGAACTCAGACCCTTGCGCTTGCCAGGGAAGTGCTTATTCTACTGAGCCATCTCCCCGGCCCCTCCAACACTTCTAAGATGAAATGATATTTCAAGCCAGATCACAAAGGGTTTTTTTTGAAATAAAAGGGGAAAAAGTACTTTGTCTTATTTTCTTAAATACTATACCAGTAACCAAGAAAAGGGAAGGTTTCTGAAATCTCTGATATGCTTGGTACACCAGCTTCCAAGCCAGCTAATCAAAACAGAGCAAGTGCAGTGAGTGATAATGTCAGTGAAACACTGTTCTCACCTTTTTCTACTTTAAAGGAAGAGTAAGAAGAGAATGGAGAGGAAAGACATGGAACCCTAGGTACAGAGAGTCTGCCTTCGCTCACTGATGATGACCATAGCCTGGGGAGATGGGCAGGATTCAGTATTTTTCTCAGGGCTGGAAAGAAGGGAGAGGACCCATGGATGCCAAGAGGCTGGCAGAAGGAAGCCTGGAGATCCTCCTCGAGGGGCCTCACCCCCAAGGGGACAGTCGGAAGCAGGCTTGGGACACTGAGATCTTAGCAGCTGTGCAAAGCTGAGCGAGAAAGCATTGAGGTGACACCGGGAGAGGCACCTGAGACCTGCTCACAGCAGTAGGTGTGTGTGTCAGATACATTTTCATTTGCTTGAACGATAGGTGTTGAAACTCCTAATGACATTGAAAAGACTTTGAGAAATCCCTGTCCTACCCTATCCTCATCCATCCGAGCCCTAACTCCCTGATCTCTTTCTTCTACTATTGTTTCTTCTACGCCTTTCTATTGTTTCGTATGACTACTATATATACTCACTTATATAACACTACTATAATTAGTATCTATTTAACTCTACTACATATATTCTTATTTTTCTTTCACTTTTTAGAAAAAATGTCATTGCTCATTTATAAGCCAAATAGCAGTAGATAAACACTGATATATAAAGATTATATGTATATATCAGTTTATATCTATTTATCTATTTCCCTTGATATACACTCAGAGTTTTCCATATCAGTATAGAGAGAACTTCCTCACTCTTTTTTTTTTT